GACTCGAATAGAAAAAAAATTATATTAAAGCACCAAATGGTATTATGAAAAAACTAGATCAAGTTATGGGAAATCCAGATTTTATAGGTGAGTTTTTTTAGGATGAATTATTTATTTATTTTCTACTTTAATTCTTATCATTATACAAAAATCTTGGTGATTTTGGAACTTGTAAAATCTAAGTCTAAATTGATTAAATCTGAAAATTGCTTTATAGAAAGATGATTTGCCATTCGTCAAAAAAGTTTAAAAACAATATGTAAACTTAGTTGAAAATGGGAAAAAAAATCAAAAGTATTAACATATGTTAATTGGGAGCTAAGATCATGGGATGCAATTGTAATCTTGATCTATTAGGCTTGAGGGAGTGGGTGCGGTAGAGGGTGCACTCACTTGCCACATCAGTTTGAAATATCGCCCCCTCCCTGCGGTTTTGGTGCGGTAGAGACCTCACTGTGGCACTCCAAGGGAGCGCTCCGCTCTTTCTATTGCCATTCCAATCGACCGTTGATCGGTCATTTTTCTTTTTAAAAAAAAATGTTTTTTTTTTAAATTTAATTTAATTTAATTTATTTATATATTTATTATAAATATTTTAAATTGAGTGTGACACAACTCCTTGGGTATGGTAAGAAACCACATTTTTGTGTTAATTACTAACGTATCGCATACGTGACAGTGAAGGGAATGCAACTTTTGTGGCACCACGTAACTTAAAAAGTTTAAAAGAGAATTAATAGAGTAAAAAATAATAAGAAAATACATAACTAACAAATTTTATTTTATATACGACAACAATTTATAAAGTATGACAATGAAGTGTTAGTAAAATGAAAACCAACGACAATTCATGGTATCTGAAGAAAAAATTCTAATTTTATTATAAAGTTTTTTTTTAAAATTACTATAAATTGAAATAAAACTAGCATTAATAATATATAATATTGATATTATTCTAAATCGTAGTGTAATATTTTATTTGTAAAGTAATTAAAGGAAAGTATGTAAGGCTATCGAGTATCATCTTAAAAATAAAGCTAGAAAAATTAAATATAAGCTTTAAAAAAATAACATATGGCATATTTTTATTTAGAGTAAATTACACAAATGGTCCCTATGGTTTAGTGTAATTTGCGTGTTTGGTCCCTAACTTTTTTTTTTTAACTCGGAAGGTCCCTACTGTTTGTTTTTGTTACGCGCTTGGTCCCTGTCTTACCTAAAAAAATACTATTTTGCCCTTGGTTTTTTATTTGATTTAAATAAACACACCCCTAACCCCACCCCCCTCACCTTACCTTACCTACCCCACCATTTTCCCCTATTTAAATAATAGTCTTTTTAGGTAAGACAGGGACCAAACGCGTAACAAAAACAAACAACAGGGATCAAGGTCGTAACAAAACAAATAGTAGGGACCTCCCGAGTTAAAAAAAATAAGTTAGGGACCAAACACGCAAATTACGCCAAACCATAAGGACCATTCGTGTAATTTACTCTTTTATTTATTATGTAGTATATTATGTCACAATCGTAGATTAGTAATAGTGGTTGGGAAGTTGACAAACGTTGCACGGGTGTACTAATCACACAAATCATTAAGAAAGTGTTAGGAGGAGTTGTATTCAAATCATTACTAATTTTTATAAAATAAGTATCAACTATCAACTTTATAACCAATTGGCAACTGAAAGACTTTTTACTTTGGCATAATTACCAAAAAACCAAATTAAAAATGATTTCATTGATAGCAATGCCACTTGTATTAAACTATAAATGATTTGTTTCCAATTCCTTTTACTAAACTCCACCGTTGTATTAAACTATAAATGATTTGTTTCCAATTCCTTTTACTAAACTCCACCGTCGTTGTCCTATCTTTTGTCATCTCTAGCCCTACTTTGCTACCATTGGTCGTTTCAATTCATTTAAACAGTTTGACTTTTTCACAAAAATGAAAAAAATTATCAAGTTGACAAATGTCTTTGGTCAACCCTACTACTTACCATCTACTTAACTTGACACCTCATGTGAGAGCTCAATTCCACTTGAATCGATTCAAAAACCTTTTACACACATAGATACACCACTACACATTTGCACCCTACTGCTTCTATATTAAATTCACCCCTCTTCTTTGTTGCTCTCGGTTAACGGAGACAATGGGGTTCCGATCTAGGTTTCAGCCACAACTACCACTGCTTTGTTCAATATCCTTTTGGAATTTGATCATCTTTGTCTTCGTCTTTATCATCATGTTTCAGAAATCCAACACTCAAACTTTACGAACCGATTCTTCCGAAGGTACTATACTATACTATTACCACACTCTCATACTCATTAGACCGATCATGAGTTTAAACTAATTTACCTATGAAGAGAGATAATCCGGCTTCAGTTATTTAGATCATGATATTGTGAGGGTGTTTGGCTAAACTTAATTAAGAATTTTTTTTAACATATTGCCGCTTCCACACCGGTATAAGCCAAAACTAGTGTTTTG